GGTCTCAACAACCTACACAGTCTCCAACTGAGGATGTTCCTGAAACTTCAGCTTGACAGACCAAAGGCTAACCCTACTTGAAGCTCCTCGATTTTTGGTATCTAACATGTGAGGGGAGTATATTAGTGTTCAGAGTAGCCAACTTCAAAGCAATTGGTACATTTTCTTGATAGTTTAGTAATGGAGAGAGTATATTAGTGGGACTCGTCCCATAAAAGGACCTTGGACTTTTTTGGTCCCTAAGGCATAATTGATGAACTATAACATCATCATATACAGTTCGAGTCCATGTTCATTAACTCTTACCGTAACTCCAACATCACCACTTGATTAGTGAAACCAAAACTCTTACACAAACTTCTCTAGGCAAAATCGAAAATATATTTTGTTTCAATTATTGTAGTTTTGTGGATTTTTCTTCGAGATATCTCGAAGAAAAGTACCATCCCATCCTCAACCCATACCGAATCCGCCAATGAGAGCATTACAAGTCACTACATCTGACGAGCAGTCCTTGTTAGGCATCGAACCAAACATGCGCTTCAGATCATCTAGACGATTATGCTTGCAAAATCCATCCATCAACTATGAAACTTGTTTCTCTTGCGTTTCACTTTAAAGATTTTGAGCATCACTATGATGTCGATGATGACAGTATAAACTACAATTGTTCCATAAGTAACTGCACAAGGTTCATGACCTTTATCCACTATTTTAGTGACCAAAGCTAATGCCTCAAAAACTCGAGTTCCTACAGAGACCATTCATTCATCAATCTGTTGAATGTTTTGACACTATTCCACCTACAAACTCTTCTATCAACTATGAAACTTGATTAACATGCGTAATCTATCTTATGTGTAGAAAATGTTCTATTTTCCTTGGATCATTAGCTTTCGTTCAGTGGTTTCTTTGATATCCAGAGTGTCCATGGGCGCTCCATAACTTCATTTCCTCACATAATGAAACGTTACATATTGTGAAATCTGAACAAGTATAGTAATTAGTTAGCCAGTAAAGTAATGAAAGAAAACCACAGTCAAATGGATTTTAATATAATCCAATACAAAATAAGCAATGTATAGTCAATTCAATTTGATTACACATAAATCTATATGAGAGTCTTAGACCGTTAACGTCAGATGTCTTCAGTAACTTCTTCAAGACAATCTAAGAAATGAGTAATGTTGAGTTTCTCCTTTCTGTTGGGGATTGGCTCTTTAGACTTGCCATCTCTTTGCGCTGCCATTTCAATAACAGTGTATAGCTGCTTAATTGGAATCTGAAAAAAAGATGTAAGAAACCAGTGTAAGAAAAATGATAGGGTAATAATCAAAGACACAATGAGGTTGAGCACATACATCATGAAGGGCTTCGGAAGCTGCTTCAATATCATCTTCTGCGAACACGTTTAGTTGCTTCAGCACCTGATTCATTGGAACATGTTAGGAAATATAGTTTTTGGTTAGAACATGGATCGAAAAAAATAATCTAAAAAGAAAACAGATTAGATTACCTTCTTGGCATCTTCTGTCCTCAGTAATGGAACAGGGTACGTCACAGAGAAAGCTTGGCGCAAACCAACAGCTTTTAAGAACATTACATCACTTGTTGTACCAATTACAAGAAGTTTGCTTCCCTGTCACCAAACAAAAAAGAAAACATTTCCCAAGTTATATAATTTCTACCATAATGACAGTTCATTTAAATTTTGCAACTAAAATACACACCTCCGGAGGAGACTGTTCGAGAAAAGTTAACAATGTATGAGTAATTTCATTCGAAAATCGCGGTCCAATTTCCGTGTAGTCCAACAACCTACAATGATATTATAGATATTCAACTTAGCCCCAGAAGAAAATTAAAGATGGCGAAAAGTACGCAAAAAAAAAAAAGTAATAACTTTGAAACCAATTTAGTAAGAAACAAAATTGCATGATTGACCTTTCAATCCTGTCAAGAATAACTATGCTCAGTGGTGATTTGTATGCATCCTCAAAGACCTATTTTCATTTCACGCACAAAATAAAAATGTTAGTTACTATAGATACATGAATTAAAGGAGCACAACAACAATAGAAATTTAGAAAGCTTTTGAAAAGCTAAAGGACCTTAGTAATGTGTGCGCATTTTTTGTTCTCGTGAAGACCATTCATAGTCCCTGCAGAGACCTTGCCAAAGCAGAGAAACAAATTAGTATCAAAAAGAGGCAAAAGTAAATAAGGTTCAAAATTACTAATTAACTTGACACTTACTATTTTGACATATGGGAAGTCACTGTCCAGGCCAATAGTCGCAGCTAATGCAGTTTTACCACTGCTCATGAATGAAGCTTACAAAATTAGCAAGAAGCTAGAAACAAAACGTGAGTTGGATATATAGGTCTCAATTGTTTGATTACATTTGCGTTTGTTGCTAATTGTAGACGCAAACAGAACGAAATATATATCTTCGCATAAATGGCGTTTAAAATGATCATAAGTTATAAAAGATTACCTTCCACTAGGTCCGTGAAGAAGGCAAGTGACTGGAGGACCTCTTTCGTTAACTTTAACTTGCTCAACAAGAAACATAACTCTTTCGTAGATTAGCTTTTGCCGATCACCACAGTCCACAAATCCCTTAGGTCTATTAACATGTCGTAAGAAAATTAGTTACTTACGCAAAAACAAATAACTAAGATTGTTTGTACAAATTTACCTGTAGTGTTCAAGGTCTTTTGGAGAGGCTCCAAAAGCAGGCTTAACTTCATGGAATGCTTGAAGAAAATCTTCCATTGTAACTTTGATATTCTCTTCATCCACAGGTTTTGTAAGATCTTCCATGTTCACATGTCTGTTCAAAGCATATGATGTTGCACTTTTCACAATTCCTTCAAGCTCAGCTCCACTGTAATTCTTCGTCCGAGCAGCTTTACAATTTAAAACATGTCAGACAAATCATGTCAAGAGTCAGAACAATGATTTTGAACTCGATGAAGGCATACCGAGCTCTTGGAGATTGACATCAGGAGCAAGGAAAGAATTTTCTTTCATCATTTTTGTATGAATCTGAAGAATTTCAAAACGTCCAGCTTCATCAGGGAGGCCAATCTCGATATGAACCTCTAACCTTCCAGGCCTGTTAGACAGAACTCAAAAACATTATTATCTATGTGTACTAGACTCAAAGCCAAAATAGTAATTATCACAAGGATGCAGAGACCTTAGAAGAGCTTCATCAAGCATATCCTTCCGATTTGTCATTCCAATAAGTAAAACATTGTTCAAAGCCTCCACACCATCTATCTGGTAAACTAACAAGTGTTAGCCATATCGAGAAAAACAAGCATTTTTCGCGAATAGCTTGATCGTTGGCTAACCTTTGTCAGGAGCTGGTTAACAATACTGTCATGAACACCTGTACCATCTCTGCTTGATCCTCTTGCCTGAAAAGTTCAATACATACAATTTCTGAAACTAAATTTAACTCATATCGCCTACTAATAAACAAACTTTATGATTTCAAAATTGATAGCATCTTGAATAAAGTTGTGTACCTTACAAATAGCATCGATTTCATCGAAAATAATGACATGAAGCTCACTTGCATCACCTGAAAAGTTTAATAACCATTGCCAAATTAGCACACTTGCAAGAAAAAAGAAAACATAAGAACACAAGTCAGGGTAAACAATTCTTCTTCCGCACCAAGGGTTCTCTGGTCCTTCTCAGCATCAGCAAACAAGTCTCTTACATTCTTTTCTGTCTCACCGACAAACTTGCTTAGTACCTCAGGACCATTCACGATCTATTAACTCAAGAGAAGAGACATTAAAGTCATTAATAACACAATATAATGCATACTTCTTGAAGAATGTTACAAAGTAAAATTCATGAGATAAGAGTTAAGAAGTTCAGAAGAAATATACCTTTGGCTCTTTTCCATTCAGCATTTTTCCGATTTGGCGTGCCATCAAGGTCTTTCCGGTACCAGGAGGTCCATAAAGAAGCATCCCTCTAACATGTTTTCCTCCAAGTCTGCAAGATCAAAAGCATAAAGCATAAAGAACATACACAGAAATAACTGTTCAACATCTAGTGCTTGAAGAAGAATGAATCACAGAACCTGTTCCTAACATGAGGAGGAAATATACGCGAAGCAAAAGCTCTTCGGAATATATCAACAAACTCTGTTTTTAAGCCACCAATACCAAGTGCCTGAAGGTTAAACTCCTTTCCTTTAAATATTTTGCTAGTAGCAGCGTCTCGTTGGTTGATAATCTGTTACACAAATCAGGTTTAAAAAGATGATATATTGATTAAACAAACACAAGTAGTACCAACAGAATTGATCAAAAACCAGACCTTTATGCCATTTGCATTTGATGTTTCAAACACAAAATATGTATCTTTACATATCATCCCTCTTTCCATACCATCGGACCGGTCTTGACCCTCTACAACCACCGCTCGGTTAACCGTAAAAATGTAATTAGTTCCATGATACTCAAATGTAGCTCTCTGTCCTACTGTGAAGACCTGCATATATATAAGTATGCATAAGTTTCCGTAAATCAGAGCGCTAATGTTTTAATTGGCGAGACAAAGAAAAAGGTCAAATACGCAGAGAAATTGATGGAGCATAGCCATAAGGACAACATTAAAAGGTATGTGCCTCTCAGTTACATGCTTTTAGTGACATTGCATGATCTCAACTATACAAATCATACATTAGGAGCCAAAATACATAAATCTAGCACAAGCATACACAACATTTACCTGATTAATGAATTTCTTCTTGAGTTGGGTTGAAAGAAGCACAGCATCAACCTGAAAGGAAATTAAATATCATAC